ATTGTAATTTCGGTTCACATTCATATTTCACAAACTCACGGGTAATTTCGTGACGTTGCTCCCATTGTTCGAATGCTGATTTGATCCATTGAGATCTGATCCATCGATACGTGATTGACTATTTAAGGACAGGATTGTGCTAGCCGTACACTAACAAGCTGTCGATCACATCACAGGACACAGCCTACATGAGTACATATAGGATAGCAGCCGTATGGAGATCAGTTATCGCAATCCACAATGGCAACCAATCTTCAGTAAACAGACCCAGATCTGCAGCAAACAGACCCGAGAGATCTGGAAACGCTATCCATTCCTGCAAACTAAATCCTCTCTACCGACAACAGTCCAATGATGCTCTGGGACTCTGGATGGGACGAACAGACTCGTCGATCATTCCTTTGGGGGACTCCTAAGAACGCAGATCATATGGTGGACGCGGAGCATTGCGTAGTCAACGCCCAACGGTACCTTCAAATCCGCACCTAATCTCTTCCATCAGCTCTTCACAGTCCACGGACTCTTCCCTGACGGCTGGCACCTCCCCCTCTTCTAAGGACTCATTCCTGGAAAATCGACGACCCTCTACCGCAACATGTTCGAGGAGATAGACACCTGGGCTTCTGAGGCCTTGGGGCTACCAACCACAATACATTCTCATGGACTACGAGCTCGCCATTCACAACGCAGTTGCTTCATGCCTGCCTGCCTAGGTCGAAAATAAACTAGTAGTACACTATGGCTCAGATCATATCTCAAATTGGCAATGTTACGTATTCAAATTAACAGTTCAGATCACGTCTCTAATTGGAAATGTGTTGTATTGAAATCAGATCACAATTTCGGACAAATGTCGTTTTTTCTGGTACCCTGAGTCGGACAGATGTCGCTGTCGGACAGATGTCGCTGACAGGAGTCGTGTTACCCAGTAACCCTAACCCTGACCCTAACCCTGACCCTGACCCTAACCCTAACCCTAACCCTAACCCTAACCCTGACCCTGACCCTAACCCTGACCCTAACCCTGACCCTAACCCTGACCCTAACCCTGACCCTAACCCTGACCCTAACCCTGACCCTAACCCTGACCCTAACCCTGACCCTAACCCTGAATTGACCCCAGTGTAATTACATGGGGGGTCAATTGTCGGGGGTAGATTGCATCAGGGGGTCATTTGTCGGAGGGGGGGGGGGAGGGGGTCAATTGTTGCGGTACCGTACTATATAAGTATATAGCGTACTATACCTCTCATTTGGAGATTCAGTGCCATGGTTGTCAGCTTTTTATCAACTCCGGCCAATTTCTTGACTGCGCTAATCAACTCGGTTTTATTGACTTTTAGTTTTGGTGCCAAATAAGCAAAATTCCAAATAACTTAAGAACTTAAAAGAAAGATAAAAGAAACTTGCCAATTTATAAATTTAACGCTGCCATAATAAGATTATAGCATTATAATCTATTTGGCATGGATTGATAATTTTATAACAAATCCTGCAAAGTTAATGGAAAACCTGCCGATTTAACTTTATCACTGCCGTAATCTATCCGGCAAGGATTGATAATTTTATAAAAAATCCTGCCAAGTTAATGGAAAACCTGCCGATTTAACTTTATCACTGCCGTAATCCATCCGGAAAGGATTGATAATTTTATAGCAAATCCTGCCAAGTTAATAGAAAACCTGCCAAATAACAAATACCTGCGCTGTTGATGCAGGATCACTAGTTAATTAGGCAGGTTTTGACATAAAAAATTAAGAGAAAACCTGCGGATTTAGTGTAATATACTGCTGATCTGGACAGGGTAAATTAGATTACTAGGCAGGAGTGGTAATTTCGCAGTCTTCGCTATTAACTGGGCAGGTTTTAGGTTAAATTCGCAGTGGCAATGGCTGGAAGGGGCCTCAGTTACTATGGTAGTATTTTATCCGGGAAAACGGTCCCATTGAATGTCATGACCATATATATTTCATTACTGCAACATTATTATATCAAGCATCGCAAAGTCCACACAACGAATTAAAATATGATCCTATGGCAGATTAAAAATGAAAGAATGTCTCGCGAGCACAAATATTGCATCGGGTCCGGATGTGGGTACGGACAGCATCGATGCTGTAGTTGTTGCTGTTGTTGCAGCATGCAGGTTAACATCATCATGTTAACCTGCATGTGCTGATTTCTCACGTATCTTTCTTCACACCTGTTCTGAAATATTCAGTATGGTAATATTTAAAACAAATTGGTATACGTTAGTGTACAAATTATAATGGTATATGGCCTACCAACAATTTTTCAAATAAAATGTGTTAATAGTCATGTTCTTACTCTTCTGGTCCTTCGGAGAAAACCTTTGCTCTTTTTCGTTTTCTGGTTATTCATTTTAGCTAAATAACATAGTGGTGAGTGGCTGAATAAAATCATGAAACAGACTTTTAGCCTTGCCAAGTCTATGCTTGCGGTCAGCCCTCATTTTCTTATACCTCAGACCCACTTCCCGCACCATGTCCTCCGTAACTGCATGCTGACCCTGAAAAGGAATATAAATCAAGTTTCTGTGTTACAAACCACTATTATACTAGTTTCAAGAGCTTATTTTATGAAACAATATCACTTATGTACATCATGTGCGACTTAATCATTCTATGCATGACATGGATGAATCTGGTTTAGATTGGTTGCAACCCAGATCACAGATGGAGTGTAGTTTAATTATTAACTGAAATGGTGCACCGCTAGTTTCCGCTAGCTTCCGCCAGGTATTCGCTGGCTTCCGCTAGGTAATAATGCTGCGTGGCGAATTTGCGCGCAATATATGTCCGCTAGGCATCCGCTAGCTTCCGTAAGACTTCCGCTAGTTTCCGCTAGCTATCCGAAATTGCCGCTAGGTCCGCTCATTTTCCGTAACTTAAATCTGCGAAATCGGCTATATACGGACCCGTGATATCTTACCTTCTATATGGCAGAACCTGCCGATAGCCTCCCGTATCTCCTTATCATTTACCAGTGAGGGGTTCCGCCCCCTAAACTTCCTAGATAGAACATTATTACTACAAGCATTATATTAATCATTATATTAATCAGTAATCTTACACTGAATAAACAATCGCACAGTTTAAGCTCCAAGGTAAATGTATATTTTATAACTATAATAACTTAAGAATATATCCAATATTTTTAATGAAATAGCAGTTAACTCACTCCCATTGCTGCTTCCTCTCCCCGAGCGGTTTCAGCTGCCGGGTCACAGTTAGCCCCGCAAACATTCTCATTCTTTGTGACATGCCTACACTTTATTAGTTTAGATATTCCCATACTATTACGTAAGGAGTCGTTCACATATTACGTAATCCATTTTTGGAACATTTTTAATCCCCCCCCCCCTCTGTAATCAGTTTTACACAAGCTATTGTGTCAAAATTACACTAGCGTTATCATTTGGAAACCCCCCCCCCCCTCAGCTGATGACGTAATATGTGAACGACCCCTAATCAATTTTAAATAAGCAGAGAATTAAGCAGAGAATGTATGACAAATAGTATTCTCCACTATTTGTATCTATGAAACATGCATGCAGCCTGCTTGTTGTAGATAGCAAAATATAAATGACGTCACAGCAGGAACAACGTTACAAAACGTTAAATTGAAATAATGGCGGCATTGTGAGTCTCAAGGTGCATTATAGGCGTGCATTATAGGCGCGGCGTTACCAGGCGCTGAAATTCAATCATCAATAGTGCTCGATTCTAAGTTCGATTTTAAAATATCAAAACTCCAACGTAAATGCGCGGCACTACATTATAAAACAATAAAATCACGTTATAAAAACTTGGAAATATTGGTATCAATTAGAAAACGTGTAAATTATTTTTAACAAATTTTATCGTCCAATTATCGTGTTATTGTTGTCTGATTGCTCGATAATTGTCATATTTGCGATTATCGTCCGATTATCGCGCGCGCGACGAATATCGTGCGATAATCGGCAGTATAACAATGAACAATAAACGCGCGTTTATCAATTTATCGTCGATTATTATTTTATGTACGAATAGAATCTACAAATTTTCCACCATGAGCTCCAATCAGTAAGCTTACAAATTTTTGATAAATTGGATCGAGCTAGGGAAAATTATCAAAAATGTATTACCCATTATACAATTTGTTATAAAATTGTCCGTAAATTTGTTGCAGTTTTTAGAAAGAAGGCAATTAACCGTATATTTTATTGTTAAAATTGAAAATTGTAGATATCGAATATTTAATTATATGCAATTGAATTACAAATTAGAAAACTAATAGCTACAGTTCAGTGGCATAACGACCGCCTCCACAGCCCTTACCGTTGCAGTTACAGTATAAGCTTAAATGCCGAATTTATTCGAACATAATTTGTGGCTTTAACAACTACATTTCTTATCTATTTAGGGTTATACTTATACGGGTTCCTGATATGCTAGTTAATTGAAATAGTATGGAAATCAAGCTCATACAATTACAATATGCATTGAATTACAATTCACAATTACTCCTATTTCTTGATTTGATGATATTTCAAATAATATGAAAACGGTTTTAACAAAAACTGGAAAGATAAAAATAATTTAAAATTCAAGGTCAGATCACTGATGACATGGTCCGTGGTCGATCTCAAAATCCTAATTTAATTAAATTTAACCCGTCAAATATCGTTAAGGTTCAGTAAAATTTGTACAAGGCTTTCTGATCTGAGTAGTATTCAGAGATTCATGAAATCTGAGGCGTGAAGGTGTCCCCTTAATGCCAAAGAGATTAGGATTAGGAACAACAGGACGAAAATAGAAAGCGTCCCCACGTCCCACTATGTATGGTGAAGGACATGGTATAGTATAGCAGGGTCTGGACCCCAGTAAGGTATAGTATAGCATAATCAATACACAAATCTTAATATTGATAGCCTGCAGGCGTGTCTTTTTTTTGTTTGCCGGTATATTAATTTGATTTCGACTGCAAACCGATCCAGGTTGCATTTTTTTGTCAGTATTTGCGAGTGTGCCAGGTCCACTAAATAGCCAAAGATGATTAGAGGCATGACACTCAACACCCTACATATCTCACTCGATTATCTGAACTGTAGATTCTCTCCTATTTCGGGATCTTTTTGTCCTTTACTTAATAAGAATCTATTGTTGTGTGTTATTTCCCGGGTTCGTGTTCGTGATATTGATAACATTCGGTTTAGATTTTTTACCCTTATACATAAGATCATAGCCCTGGATGCAATTACTAACAATAACAGCCGAATCGTCAAAATCTAGGTCTAGGTTTCCTAGAACTGTAACAGTTCTAAGTTGCGAAGTAGTGTTCCGTTTTGGGTCTCGCCGTAAAACTGTCCAAACTTAATTTTTATTTATTTCTGGGTAGACTCGAGTACAGTTGTTAACCTAATTTGTCTTATCAATGAAATCTACGTGATGGTTGGAATAACTGCTCCTGTTTGGCCCGTATTTTGTTTGATATTTTAGAGCCTTCGTAATTCAATTTGTATTTCAACCTTATTAAAAAACCTTTAATAATTAGTATGTTCGATTGCTTCTGCAAAATTTCATTTCAAAAGGAATTAAATCGTCGCTGAACCTGCCGTTCCATGCTTTTTCTGATAAATCTTTCATGCTAAATTTCATAGCCAAATTCCCAGGTGAGGTAACAGTTCCTTCGAAGTGTGGCCGTCGAGATGCAATGAAAACTGAGTTCATATTTCTGTTCCTTAATCTTATATAATTATAACCTGGTTTTTTGTCCAGACTCCAGGATGTATTTCAGCTGCATATATGCAGTTAAAAATGAGAATTCATTTTCAGTACACTTCGAGTTCGACCGCATTTCGACGGGACTGGCAGTATAGGATTGATCATCATGATGATCAATCACTCTACACTCGACTGTCACATGACTTTTTAAACACGTTCCCTAGCTGGCCCTGAATGACTATTAGAAATCCTAGCCCTCTTATCTGATCCCAACCCTAATCCAAACCCAATCTTTAACAAAAGCATACGCTGAAACCCTAACCCTAACGAGAAATTAGACCAACTTCCTTATACGCCATACGGTCATATCACGTGATCGAGACAGTTTTTTGCCAATATCTCGCCAGGAGAGCATTTTAACCCTTTGTCATGGGGGTGATTCGGAATCAGCGTCCGAAAATACATCGATTCAAGTTGGTTCCAACTGCCGGGGGTCCTTTTAGAAAAATATTGAAGATTGACTGTAGCACGCTTTAGCACGCTCGGGAAGTATAACTATATTCTATAACTGTTGGTCCATTCGGTGCATCGCAAATTTGCACTGATGACTATGTAAAAGGTTTTGCAGAATTTAACACTATTTTTAGCAGGTTGACGTTAGTCTTACTCTTTAGTTTTCTATATTTCTTTGAGTTCGATAAATGCGTAATTGTAATCGAAATCACGACTGGCTACAGTTCAGTTGGCACTGATGAATACATTTATTCTAGTTAGAAAAAATATTTTTGCACACTATCAGTTTAATAATCCGAACTTCCCCCGTAGTGAACAGTGTATAGTTTTGCTAACTACTAACTATACTCCACCAATTAGAATTACAAGGAACACCAAGATATCTGATATAGTTGTAAATATCCAGAAATAACGGACAGGACAATGGAACTTAGAGTTGTTGTAATCTTTATCTTGAACACAATTGCTTGCAGAGCTTATATTTCCCAAGAATGTTTTTGTGACTCTGAGATAGGTACGTCATAATGAGAGAAAGTTCAACTAATTCTTGTTAAACTCTTTTCTAAAGCTGTACTCAGCTCTGCAAAACTTAGAACACAACTTTAAATTTAATCGACCAGTGTAAGATTCCAGGGCACATGTACCCTTTTTCTATTTCTCATATCACGGGATATCCAGCACGGATATGTTTAGTACATCGCCACGTAATATTTATATAGTGTTCACTATTAAAATTGATAATTATTAAAAGTCTCAATAAATTATTGTTACAGTGGTCAAGGCAAAGATTTTGCCGGAGGGTTTTATAGAAAAGAACACGGCAAAAGGATCGAAGAAAGAAAAGCCAGTGGTGGGTGCTCACGAAAGACTATACGAGATAGCGATCATAGAGGTTTTCAGAGGAGCCTTAGGTCGACAGCTGGAGGTAATTATTGTTTTCAAGTGATTCTTAACAGCGTACCTAATAGACAGTACCTAAATATAATATTGTCTGATAATTAAATTATACCTATTGTAATATTTGGGCATACTGCATAATATTGAGAAAATGTAGGACTATTTGGTGGTACTTGCATTATCTATTAGTGCCGCACGGAAAACTAGTGGTTTTTGATACGACTGCAATTTATAGTTTCCCAAAATATGTACGTTATAATATTACAGAGAAGTCTACACTATGCAAAGAGCAGAAAACCAGACTTAGTGAACTACGATGCTGACGGTTGTGATTTCTACCAAGAAAATGCCATAGCACTATTTCATTTCGATGTAAGAAATATCAAATTGGAGTTTTAATTTAGTTCGTTAACGGTCATCAGATCGCACATCACTGTTTTATAGAAGAATTCACAAAAATGTTAAAATCGTAATACGATGTTATAATTTTACCATGAAAAATTGTAATAAAAATGAATGATATCAAAATGAACAGTAACGATGAATATATTTATTAATATGCTGTAAAATCAAAAGTAAATTAAAAACTGTTTACACTCGCAGACCGTGAGTGATATGACGATCAAGAAGTTCTGTAAAGGATGGTACTACGTGAAAGGTAACGTAAATTGTACTGATTGGAATTTCAAGTAATGCACATAAATGTAGTTTTTTGTTCGATAACCCTAAAGTAGGGCCAATAGAGTGCCCTAAACCAGGAACCCTATCCTTCCAGAATTTGAGAGGAACGCATTGAGAAGAAATCTGTACGACTGTGACTGTGAGATAGAGGACTGTTTTAATCGCTTCACTGAAGAGCGCGGTATACCAGAAGACTGCCCTGCCTCTCAGATGGATCAGATCCTCTGCACTTGGGATTACAGACAGAGCCGTGAGTTAATTTGATAGGCGTTCTTCGAGATTTAACTGTAAACAACATGATCACGATCGTACAGTACGGAATTTAAATGAGAATTTGTTTACAAATAATGGATGCACTCGGCAGGAATTGCGCTTACGTAAACTCAATCTCCCAGGTTGTTTGTGGAAGGGAGCTAAGAAAACGTGCGTCAGAGAAAAACGAGCTAAACCGAACGGATCACCACCAAATAGAGGTCTGAGACGATCGAATTAAAGATTTAAATCATCTGAGGAAACGTATTTCTTCAACATTTGGTCAAGCTGCTCTATAGTTGATATTGAAGGCGACATTATTGCTGATGAAAGTACACGGACATATTTGTGCGGGTCCAGTGCAGTAGGAGAATATAGGAGCAGCCAATCAAGATAATTCGACCATCACCAAGTTATTCTTGTGTGGAGGCACTTTTCAACCATTCCATATACAAGTTCAGTTTTTTGTCTCGTGGTGTTACCTGAAATAATATTTCAATGAAATATGTTTGAAGAGCTTAGGTACAAATTTTATTTAAAGCTTTACTAAAAAGGAATATACAAATACATTGCATGATACATTTAAAAGAAAGCTAACTTTTCTATTGGCTATGGTTTGAGCTATTCTGACGAGATTAATACTAGGAATAAAGAACTTACATTCAATTGTTCATAAAAATAGTTTATTATTTGAATTATACTATATGTATGTATATTTAGATAGTTAATGTTTAAGGACTTAAGGAGTCAAGAAATATGCAGATTTATTAATTACGCTTCCGTTAATAAGGAGTTTACACTAACACAACCCTGCTGCAGTAATACTATAATAGCGGTCCTTAACCATGTAAAAGCACTCACGTCAGTTTGACCGCAGCAGAAGATCCTTTAAGAATCATCACCGTACTTCCCGATTCCAGGCAACTCTTTGGGGAACTCCCAATCCATCTTTAATTAAGTACTTGTCTGGAATAAGGTTTTTGTTATATTTAAAGATTTACACACATCTTGTAATAGATTACTGATGGATTATTGAGTTTGTTTTTAATTGGTTGTTTTATTGTGCACATGTCCGGTTCTATCACAACTCATATGACGTATGCAATGATCCCAACCTACTTTCCATAAAATAGAGAGACTCACTAGACATGGCAATAATAGTGGCAGCGCGTCTGTTATGAAGTCCCAGCGGGGTGAGGAGCTGTGTCAGAGTGGAGAGGGAGGAGGGGTCCTGGAGTAGGGTTGTGGGGTAGAGGAGGATTAGGGAGGTGAATACAGGGACTACCACCCTTCCTGCAGTAGGGTTACGTCAATTAGGATTAAACTATCTATTATCCAGTTTGATTTCGCTATTCAAGTTAGATTCTTCAGCTGTTTGAAAAAAGACAGATAAGCGCCATGATAAAAAGCTGCTGCATGACTCATAATGTGGCAAAGTTTATGCCATCAGTCACCAATGACAATACCTTTCGTTTTGTTAAGAAGGATAGTTGCAACAAGTAATCTCCATGGGTCCTGATAAGTTGTCTCCTGCAACAGCGAGTAGGGTGACTTAGGAGGGTGGTAAGGTGCACCCAGAGACTGGTGGGCAGGGGTCAAGTAGTGATACAGTCTATACTCTATAGAACCACTTATGTTTTAGTTTCCAACTAAAATGTAAATTTCAGCAAACGTGATGGAGTTGGAAATAGGTTCCACTAAAAGATGAATTTTATCTTCGGGCAGCAACCTTTTCATTTTTATGAGAACTTAAATAAATTCTGATATGACACAGTTAAAATAGCGATGGCTAAAGATGTAAATTATAACAAATTTTGATACATATAGATGCAATATTAATGTAGAAATTATTAAATAAAATGGCTAATTATTTAAGAAAAAACGGAAATATCACGAAAATGCAAACATTATTTTGGGGTAACTATATTTACAATGGTTTTCTGCATATTCATCATCCGTAAAAGTGATAATCAATCATTGGTTTCTGTCTCTGTTTTAATGTTAAGCACAGGAAGGTTATGAAGCGGAGATAGCTGCTTGCTGACTGGATGTTATCTCTGAGATGATATCAGCGTAGAACGGACCGAACACTCCCCGATTGTAACTGACAAGGTGAGTGTATTTGCTGGCTACTCCCTGGACGTCTGCGCTGCAAACACTGAATCCTGCGGGGACTGAACCCACCACTCCGCTACTGTAATAAAACAGGGTTTAGTTGCGAGGATCAAAGTGTAGCAAGGTCTAAATTCTAGATTGGAAAGTGACATGACATAAAACCAATTCAAAGTTGTTAACTGAACGTTAAAATCATGACAGCTAAGAATAAGATGATCTTTGCTGTTATGTGAACTTAAATATTATGAATGTGCTCTTACCAGAGAGAAGTAAAGAACTGTTTGGCACGTTCCCATAGCAAGCAATAAACGGGGTTGCTAGGCGACTGTAGCCCTGACAACATTCCACGAATGTTTTGACATTCCTCGTCTCGGAGGGGACGAGCTGTTATCGTCTCTCGGACGATGTCGATTAGTTTCTCTGTGATGTTGGGCAGGATGTCCCGGGGATGGGAGATTAGTTCGTCTGAGCAGAGCTGGTATACTGTGACCCGTACCTGAAATAAACAGTCTAGGTTACATGCCATGGCCCTTTGACTTCAACCAGCTAGGTTCTACGCATAGTTTAATTGTAACGTATACAAGAGCGAATGATTAACAAGATAAGTCGACCGCGGACCGAAGGGTCAGTGGCACAGATAAACAAGGGACTGACCTTGTTAGCGAAAGAATCTTGTTGTAGAGCAGGTCCAACCCCGGTCTGTAGAACTAGGATTGTCGCTGCACTGAATACCACGGCGCTCAGTTCTCTGGCTATTGTTATAAATCTAGATATGTCCATAGCTATCGTCTCTGGTATGGGGTCTACCTGACAGGGAGTAACTTATAAGTTGTCATCATCATGTGAAACTGTGAGGTAAACAGTGGCTGAGTGGCGATGGCAGATTGATTTTTTAACGCACAAATTTTTTATGCCCAAAAAATCAGCATGTTCCCAGCGCGGCGGTGACCGAAAGGCAATTTTTTTTAAACCAAAACAATGTTTAAGTCGCATACCTCTTCCTGAATGACGCGAATGAAAGCGTTATTGAGGAGAGTAGAAGGAGAGACAGGCTGACCACTTTCCCTCATCCTCTTATCAGTGCTTGCTAGCCACATCTTGGTTCTATCCAGAGTATTTGGGTTGTTCGCCAGGAGACTCCTGAACTTGTCCTGCTCGTACTGGACACTGTTGGCTAGCAGGGCTGGTCTCAGGCTCCTTAGCTGGTAGTTTGCCATGTCCAGCCTCATCAGATCTAGCGCTCCAAATACCTGGGCATTTGCTAGTTTTAGTTTCCTGTTACTTGAGTAAACCGGTACAGGAATCTTACTATATATAAAGCGAGACGATATATATATATTATATATATGGATCCGTGCCATTTTACTGACATCACGGCATCAACTTGAACTCGATTTTCCGCAAAAACCGTAAAAGATATACAATTGAAACTTTTTTGACTGGATCAAATGTTTTAATGGCCTTAAAATCAGCATGAAAAATTAAAAAATTGGTCAAGGAATAAGAATTTTAGTGCCCAAAATTTGGACTCCCAAGTGGTGTCAAAAACGCGATTTAAATAGGTAATATTTATTTTAGTCTCTCGAGTCTTGACACCACTTTAGGGTTAGACGGGTTCCTGCTAGTAAGATTAATTGGTACAGTGATAAGACTCCGTGGCGCAACGCAAACGGTAGCACGTCTGACTCTAGATCAGAAGGTTGTGTGTGTAAATCACGTCGGGGTCAAGTTATTTAATCCCTTCTCACAAATAAAAGGGACGTATTGACAAGTTGCTCGATCGGGAAAAAACAGGTACGATAGACGAGATAACATGAGATAGAATCACCAAATGGTGTATATTTTTCACAACAAAAAAAAAACCAGAGTGCCTAACTCCAGACTCATTATTACCTCGCGAAAGACTTCAACAGGGTCAGACTGAGAGAGGATAGATCTGATGGTGGTATCCCTGGCAGGTGCACACAGCCCTAACATTAGCTCCACCACAAACTTGACAACCCCCTGCAGGTTGAACGATTCATTCTCTATCTGTTGCTTGTACAATTCTATGTCCATTACTTCGTTTATCTGGTCTTTTGCTCTCTGCACTTGGGCGGGAACCAAGTCTAGTAGGATTCCTTTTATTTCGGCTATTAACCGTAAGCTGTGCTCGTAGTCTGGAGGGGACTGCTGGAGACCTGCTCGAACTGAATCCCAAAATGCCCTGAAAATGAGAAGTAAAGAAAATGTGAACCAAATCACATTTTAAAATAGTAGTACATAAGACTAGTAAAAAGTGGGCAGATTTGAAATATGTATATATACAGGGTATCTCGGCCATACGAGAAGCTACAACTGTAATTTGTTCAGGACAAACGTAATTCGAATGGCCAAACACAATTCAATAAAATTTAGCTCGTTCCGACTATCCAAACTATCAAATAATGTGAAAATGAACCTTCATTTGAAAAAAATGAACTCTTATATTTTCGATTTGACAAATTCCTCGAACCAGTGGTGGTAGTATAAGTAAGTCGTACCAGAAAGAATTAATTCAATTGGTCACTCAGTGACTGAGCTATTAAGGCCAACGTATGCCCACTGACTTTTGGCCCACCCTGTATATTATATGATAAAAGCATCATATCGTAGCAAAGGAAGACTAAATAAATTCAACGTCCGAACAATTAAATCTATTTAATCAATTCTGTAAAACACTTTAAACTTATCAACTTCTAACCTGTGGACAATCTGTTTTACATGCCCAACAATGGAGTTAGGATCTGGCATGGACATTTCCAAGTTCTCGTTCATGCATAGTTCATGAGCAAGCTGGAGCCTCGATTGTTCATCCAGGTCGGAACTAGCGGCCGCCATTCTCTCTCCGGAGATGGGGCTCTTGGGTGGACCGGGGTTATCAGACATTGCTACTATCGGGATTATCAGTTAGAACGAAACCTGATACGCGCACAATAGTGCTCTAAACACAAACCATAACTCAGTTACAGTGTAACAAATAGTTATAGAGATTGCACAATGTACCTTCCCGCAGATACTATTACTATCTGCGAGACCATCTGTATTCTGATCCCTCATAATCACATCATGATCTCACGAAACATATCTATAGCAAGCAAAATTACTTCAACTTATAAATAAGTTATAACAACCATCGTATCAAATGATTTCAGGCGCCGATATTGCTTAATGAAGTCGTCATGATCGATAATTGTTTTGTAAGTCATATATACAAGTTACAGTATACGAAGAGATTTCAACTTCTTAAATATTGACTCGAAATTGAAATATATCGCAAATGATTTCAGTTCATACTTCATTGGTAAATGGAAATAAGAATTATAAAATGTCAAAAAACCAAAATCAGTCCCTCCGATATAGATCGTCCGGTAATTTTCCTCATTATTCATTCATACTGCTTTTTCCTTTCCTCAGCTTTGCGATTAAGATATTCCAGGAGCTCAGCCTGGTCAGTATGGTACTTATGAGCAGAATCTCCGTCCTCGGCCGTCTGCCAGAACAGCTCAGTCACTTCCTCCTCCTCTAACTTCACACCCTCCATCTTCAGCCCGCACATGAACGCTTCCGTCTAGGGGAGGAGAAGTCTTTAGAGAGGCTTTTCTTGGTAAATCTAACACACTTGTAAAAGGAATGATCCTATTGTTTACGAAATTTCACCGTCATCCGAATGACCTTAGTTACGAAAGGATGTATTTCATAAAATGATACATTATATTTGAAAAACTGCTAACCTTAGCGCTTATGTATTCGCTGTGATGAGGATCCCAAAAACGAGCACTGTTCAGGCCCAGTCCTTTCATCCTGTGAGCTAGGATCCTGCCCACATTCAGTGCTGCAATTCTGAAGAATATAACTGATAATTAAAGAATGTGCATTAAGTATGAGCTGTCAAAACGTACAACTAATAACACTTCCCGGTCCGATAATGTGTAAACACTCTTCCTACTCGTATGGTCTCGTGTTTATACAGATCCCTAATCCGATCAAACATTATCGGCGTTATGTGCGTTATAAAGAGCTCAAAAACGGTCAACGGTTTAAGACTAGATCGAACCTATAGAATAACTTAATAAAGATAACTCAGTTATAAACTGCTCCTTCATAATATTTTGTATCATTTCTCAAAAAAGTCACACTTTCTGTGGTACACCCTGTAGTTAATACTTGCGAATCAAATAATCAATCTCCTGAAGTTAAGCGCCAGTTTTACCTGTCGTAGGTTTTATTGAGCCTGGACTTGATCCAGGGTTCTTGTGTAGAGACGGTTAACAGCTCCCCTGACTCAAAGTGCTCCAACCTAGCTGTTATGTGCTTCCCGGTCTTTTCTAGAACTATCCTGCGATGGAGAGGTTGAGTTGTTAAGTCCATAGAATCAGAGGGAAGAGGAAGATCAGGATAATTTGGTGACAATATAGTAATTTTATAGAATAATATACTAATATATAATCTCTTCTTTAATTTAAACTTGGTTAAACCTTCTAGAATATAGGCAACGGCTCAAAACACGTGACCTTTCGTGGTTGAAAACTCATGATTTTTAGCATCTTCGCAGAAAGGATAGCAGAGTGAAGTCGTATTATAATTTTTAAATTTTGATTCAGGTCTTATATTTTTTGTAATTAACATCGGGAAATTGACGTTAGATTAGCTACATTTTTATCGTCAATGGGAGTTTTGTTAATTTTTGATACGTAATGATTAGCACACGTTCCCCCACAAACTTCAACTGATCATAATTTTTGTTGTTAATTGTTTTGTTTTGATGCGATGAAAAGTTTCGAATACTTCATAATATTTAGCGGACAAATAAAACTACACAAAGTTTACAGTGTGTTATTAACTAAATGATAATCATAAAAGATAAATAAGAACATATTAAAATAGGAACATATTTAATTTTAAAATTCCTCGAACAGACTGTTTTGAATAGCGGGTTTATTGTTTAGAATAAACCGGTCTGCATCATGAAAGTACAAGCTTACAGAATTACAGAATAGAAGAGAAGTTTGACTTAAATGATGAATGATGATTGTTTTATATTATCCCGCTTTTATCCAGTTCTTCAATCATTTGTATTTTGAATTTCAGAAGTCTTTCCAACAAATTAAGCTTGTAAAAAAATTCGAATATAAAGCCGCAAACTAGGATGGACATCATTTCTGTTAACAAGCAGAGGAACACATACTCGTGGTTCTTCGCGAACAAGATGAAGAAAACGCGAATAATTGACATGGCAATCAAATAAAATTTGCCTAGATCAAAACTGTAAAGTAAAAAATCGTTCATTTCAAGCATAAAACACTTTCTTATTATTTCCTCCGAGAGTTTAAGATGTGCGTTCTTTTGACCGAGTAGTCTTGGATCAGCCAGTTTAGCTACTATCGAGTAGTCGAGTTTATCTGATTCATTTTCTGATAATACAGTTCTGTTATCATTTCTACTTGCTTTATGGTCCACAGTCCCGCGGCAGGTTGAACTCCCTCGGCCTCTTTTTTTACATCTTTTAGGCGATGTTTCGTAAGGTTTCTTCTTCTCGTGTAAATAAGAAAATACGGCTTTGCTACATGCTAGAAACATTGATCTCTCTTCCTCAGAGAAAGCACCTTTTTGATGGTTATAGACTATTCCATTTCGTGGCTCAACGATCCTTTTGAGAATCATATGCTGAACTGATGGTGTCAAAATGGAACACTTAAGTAGTCTCTCTAAAGATACGTCTTCTTCCAGCTTGTGGTTGAGAAAGTGTTGTCTAATTAATAGGTCAATTCTTTTTGAAACCGTAACCGCTAACTCCACATCGTTTCGAATTTCGTCCAGGTTTGGGATTTCCATATCACTTGGTATTGTGTAGTTAGCGTTCTGACCTACTTCAAGTGATGACTGCAGCGTTGCAAGCCAGCCAAATTTCACAAAGACCAAGAAAATAGAACAAATGAAATGAATTTAAAAGATTAGCTTGATTTCGTTGCATTCGAACACACATTGTACATCGGCTTATCTCAATAAGGATAGTTCGCATGTTAAGTCTCGTGACTTGAGACAAATCAACTCTTACCTGTTGTAGTAATCAGTGCAAACTCTGCTCTCGTCCGAGGTCCACCCATACTCCCTGCTCTTGAAGTTCAGTAGTTCAGAGTTCCGCGGGTTTCTGTTGTAGAAATACTGCTTACCTTCCGCTTCAGCCTCTCTGTACTCCTGAGGCAATGAGGAGTTGAAGATTATCATCAACACTCAACAGGATATTTAAACTTCCTGATTAGATGAACTAGAAGTCTAGAACTGTCACGAAAAATTAACATACTCATTCCATATAATTTATTGTGGTATACTTAAGTAAAATGGCTACACTGTCTAAAACTCAGATAAACAATTCTAAATTTACCAACCTGGACAGCGACAGCTGGAACTTTATCCTTTTCGTCGGCTTGAGGTTTAGACAAGGCAGTCCAATAGTGATCAAACTTAGATAAGCTCCGAGAGCTGTTGGCGTTCAGTACATTCCGTAACCTCTTAGCCAGAACTTGTTTGTCTAGTCCTCTTCTGCAGAGCATGCTACGATAATATGCAATGGTAGGTGAAATAGTATTAGATTATTATGGTTTTAATGGAAATGTGCTGCAGACTTAAAATACAAGCCTGATAATAGCTCGGCTTCATGTTCGGTCCAGGTTTATTCTTGATATCTACTTAATAATGAATGAATTGATATTCCATATTGAATTCCAATGATGTTGGAAAATGTAGATATTAAGGCAACATAGCCAGTTTTTATCAATAAAGTATTTATATATATGTTACATTAAAATATTAAAATAAATGTTCGTATTGTGTATTACTCAAAAATTAAAAGATCAAATTTAGTTCAATTATTTAAAACAACCTTCTGAAAATTAACCGAAATATACTTGTATTACTTGTAAAATAGATCCACTACGTAATTCAAATTGAAAAAATTAAAAATCAATCATAAGTTAAAATAATTTAGTTCTCATCCGCTCAAAGCTCTGCTCGGTCAGAGTCACGTGCTAAACTCTCAATTTTAGCCTGCCTTATTAGAAATATCAGAGTTTCATCATTCGATATTAAGTCTATTTCTGTAGGGTCAAGATGTTCGTCTTTGTTGGCATCTAACTGATCGAATACTGTTAACCACTCCTCGTCTGTCAAATCGTGTGAATCACCGATTACTAAATCGTGGTAATGTGTGTTAAAGTTTTAACAGCCCTTGGATATCCGTGATTACATACAAGTTTGTTCACTGATCAAGATTAGCTAGGAAAAATTTGAGATTCAAAAAAATGTTTAAAGTAGTATTCTGAGAAAATTACCTGTTTCCAGAAGATCCAGAAGATCATCTTTGACTGCGGACAAAGCATCGAGAAAATCGATCTTAGGGACCCGACCCTCAGTTCTCATAGACAAAGAACTCCACATTACAAGTCTGAGATTCCCTGACAACTCTCTAGCTCCTTCTGTATCCTTGATTTCCTCCTCTCCAGCTTTACCTATATCCGAGTCAGTTCTGTAAAAAATCTTGTCTAAGAACCAATATATAATGATGTTTATTGTGTTGTAATTTACTGATATCGGTAACATTTCTAACTCTACCGAAATCCATCAGGAAAGACAAACATGATAAAATCCCCTGAAAATGTATGTTTGTGAACTGCTAAAATCGCAAATCACTCAAGGTCCCTCTAATGAAGGTATTCCTAGACTTGTTTATCTTACGTCATAGATACAGAGCCCCAGTCAGTGTCATCTGGAGAAATACACTCGAATGGTGTCTTGTAGATCTCCCACCAAGCATTAATTGCTATGTTCCTGAAATTGGACATCAAGTTAGAGCAAATTGTTTGGTTGGCGTGACGTCAAACAAGTAACGCTTTATTACAACAAGTCATTATCAATTATCACCCATTATGATTATTTGCGAGGTTACAAACCTCCCCCAGGATCTAACTGTGTGTCCCCAGAAAGTAGGAATGTAGACACAGTCCCCAGCTTCGATAGTAGCATTGTAGAAAGTAATTTCACCGAATCCTGGGTACTTGTTTAGGTTTACCGAGTCCACATCTACAGATGAGAAAGAGCCCTCCCGTTTGAAGTGACCTAGTTCCATTTCTGACCTGTTCGCGAGAATCAGCTGTTTCTTTCCTGAGAGATGGTAATATTATCATATGATAATATTATAATATGGGCATTATGTTGAACATTGGTCCCTTTACACTTACATAATTTATTTATATTATGTAACCGTGGCAATTCTTAAATTATGAACATTTCCGTACTCAAATAGGTGTATTCCAGTTATAAACCATGGTCCATGTGGCATGGACAAAGTATGTGAATTATATGTGATTTGACTAATTTACGTGACCTATTTGCGTAGCAAGTGATTTCTTTACGTAGATTAGCCTAATTATTCGAACGAAGCACATGGTTAATCACAAAGAATTTATCAATTCAGCATGATGAATCTATAAATACCAGTTATCACATTTTCGTCTAATTTTAAATGCAAAATTTCACAAACCTTTTATAAGGCAGTTAAGATTTTCATAGTCGTCGTAGTGCCAAACACTTTTAGTACCACCGCTACTAAACCACATAACCAGATCATCCATGAGTTTCGTCAGGACAAACTTGCACCTTAAAGGACCAAATATTGGTAGATCCCCACGTAGAAATCTGAAATTTAAGAGGGTGGAGTCAGAAGTTCTTTGGAAGAACCTTTTATGACGTACACGGAATTCCTTCTTCCGGCTGCGTCATCTAACGGCTCATAAAACGATTAAAGGCAATTTGATCCTCATATTTTAATGGCATAAAAGATAACAGATACAGAGAATTTCCCAGAACCACCTTTAAACTTACGTAGCCATGGAATTGGAGCAAACGTGGTTTGAGCTTATTTCCAAAAATCACAGTACCTAATAAAATAACCTCTTCTAAAACTATAATTTAGGACAATACAACAATGTCTCATCAACTCACTTTGGCAATCCAGTTACACAGTATAAATCCTCTTCGTTGTAGCGTTTTATATAATCAGCAAATGGGATGGGCTCTTGACCTCCTTCACGGGTTTCTTTTTTACCAAGCTCGTACTGGATCATCCATTTAGTGCTGAAGTAGTTGTTTAATTAGGATAACGAAAATTAGTTTAATCAGGAGAATCAGGAATGGTAGACTATCAATTATTTTGACTTAATCCAAGCTTCTACGATCAATGATTTCTCGACTAACGCTAAATAAAAAGCAGTGAAATATCTATAAAATTAATTTAAAGGATAAGAAATACAGCGAACCTCTCTTCAAACGATAAGAAATAGTCATCAGTCCATCTTTGGAATGCACGAAATTCTCTAGCAGCCCCCTTAAATACCACAGGCCGGCCAGGTATCACATAATCCCGAAAAAACTCCGTGGGTTTGAGAAATCCCTGTATCACAGGTACAGGGAGAGCCGGGGACTGCTGACCGAGAGGAAGTTGTTCATAGAAACCTAGCAGCTGTAGAATGTAGTGTAGAATATGTAACATTACCCTATGAGAGCGGTACAGTATTATGTCACCAAAACAGGAATGATCTAATCAGCACTATTAGAGGGATATTCACGTGAACCTGCCAAATATTGTTCGATCCCATGGCTACCAACCTTAAAAGCGGCTATTGTGAGAAGGCGGGTACGCCCCGGCAGTGGAACGTTTTGTGTGCAGCTTACCGTTTATTCTAGAATTAGATCGCATCAGTTGATCAGTCACGAGTTAAGTAACAAAGCATGAAGTTTCACTAATTCTAGAAATTTGTCCGACTCTTTGATGTAAGAGCAGCAGCGCAGCAAATACAAAATAGAAGTACCGAAGGACAAAACGCGCAGAAAGAGCTCTTAAACGGCGTGGAGCGATGAGAAAACGTCTTCGCGCGTTCCGTATCCTAACAATAACGGTGAAATAGTGCGACAGTAATTGCCACTTTTGATATGCAGGTATCCATACTGTGTCGCAATGCACTAAATATGATTTGAAGTTTTCGTACTTTCAATCGCACACCGGCCTTAAGTAACCGAACGTACTAATTAGCTGTATGCATGACTGCTTTAACTTCTAAGAGTGTAGAGACCAGATGGCACGTTTAGACCACCTGTTTTATCACTATGTATCTCTGCTTTACAGTGTTGAGAGATAATTCAATATTTGAAGTGCCAATCTAATATACCAGCTTCAGCACACAACAAAACATACAGTGAAGCCACAAATTTAGTTGGCCAGAAGCCCGATAGATTGGAGATAGGGTACTATATTTACGTTTAAACAGCAGTGAATCTATTTCGGGAACATTGTAACGGAGGTAAGGACCTGTACTGATCAGGAGCCTTCGTGTCAGCGACTAAATTATTGTCATGCAAATTTGATAATCGTCAGCAGCAGGTCTAATTATTGGTCACAAATATAGGATTCAGTGGCTGGCTCAACATTAAGTGAACTGTGAGCTACAATCAATAAATGGTTAAAGCATACTGCAATGAACAGGTGTACAAAATTATAAGCTCAGCTGGGTGAATATACCAGTGGCGTAACGAAAGGCCCTGCTGACCCCGCTGTGCAGGGGGGCGCCGTCTTAGGGGGGCGCCAAATCGTCGTTTGAATGTGGGACAATTTCGAAAACTTAACTAAAGTACTAGCAAAACTGCGCGTTTTGCTCTAGATACACACTTTTTTAGAGATTTTACCGGCGTATTCTCTAAAATCACCTAATTTGTTCAATTTTAGGGAGGGGCACCAAAAGGGGAGGGGGCGCCAACAGGGGGGCGCTTTTTTCGGCAGGGGGGCGCCAACAGGCAACGTTACGCCACTGGAATATACCATTGTCCAGTACATCTCAGTGCAGTTTACAGTAGAATAAAGAATTCCAATCTACAGTTCAAGTTTCATCTGCTCTGTAGAATATATTGCTTACTGTGGAGTATGTAGTTGATAGAGCCACAGTAGTTCTACGGTGGTCGCTTATTGGAAATGTATTAATTGAGCTGAAATTGAGTGACAAATTCTCAAAGTTTAAAGTTTACAAGCGACAACAGTTGGTGGTTAATAACATTATATGACTCTGATGTTACAGTACCACAGCATGTTACATCCCTATTTATGGGGTTTAATTGAGGACTTGCTAGATTCTCAGTTACATTTTACTAAATTGCTTAATCAAAGTACCGAACCCATAAACCTTCAACTTTCAAATATAAATTGGAACTCATATTATAAGGGATTATAAACACTGACCCATGTAGGGTATAATGATTCGCATAAATGCGAGCCACCGTCATACTGTGAAGGTTGCACAAGCATCCCCCATTATAGTTTTTACTAGCAGCACTATTTCAGGGCGATATATGCAAAATGCACTGCACGTACGTTCTTAAAGGCGTTACCTATTGTGGGAGGTATAATAGGAGCACTCAGCACTGCACTCACTGCACCAGAGCGCATATAATAGTATATTTTGTCGTGATGAGATGATACCATATTCGTCAAATAAATAAGAAAGTAAGAGTAAGAAAGGTCAACATATTGAACATTATAATTATACATCGTTACAGTAAATCGACAAAAATGATACAATGTGAAATAGTATAGATGAGTTGTGGTACATTTCTTTGCAAGTTCATATATACTGTATACATACAACTGCGATAAAATCTAAAACAAACCGAAATTTGAATATCAATGTTTCTAGCATGTCGCCAACATCTTTTGTTAAAATAACCCTTAAATCAAGTAATATTCTATTAGTCATATAAACAACAGACATGGATCCATGTGGCAGGGAATGAAGTGGGAGAGCAAAATTATAACTTTGAAAGATCTGAAATTATGATTTACTAAGTTTGAAAAATATTGCACAGTTACATCACATAACGAGCGGCTACAGAAAACACAAATAGCAAGTTACATCCACCAACATTTTACCACTGGGTCCATGCCATGCAATAAACGGTAAAAATAACATGCATGGTCAATTGCATCAACCCCCAATTATTTGATAACCAAAGTTTTATCAAACAGCAAAGAACAGTGTGAACAAAGGGAAAGTTTGGTAGTCATTGCCTATCTTGTCTTGCCTTTTTTCTTGCTGAGACTGAGCGATAATCTTTGTTTCTTATGGTCCGGTGAAGCCCCTTTTGGAGGTGTTCGCAGGAGGTTTGGTATTTCTGAAGAAATATGGTAACAGTCAGGGGAAAACTTACTATGAAAGTTAAGATAGTGAGACAATTAGTAAGATCTAGTAAGACCTAGTAGTAAGACAATATTATACTAAATTTTGTATATAAACGAAGCACAAGAAATTCACTTAGTATCTGAGATCACGTACACAGTTTATATTATGTATGAAAGAGTTTGTTGCTTTGTTCTCATGGAACATATGGGATTATGCGAGTAGTGATCAATATATTGATAATTTTCCAGAACTTTTTAAATGAAACTCGCATCTCATCGAGTCAATGAATATAATGTGATTCATTAATAACCATTAACTTCAATATTGTTCAAGTCAATTATTTAATGTATATATATAGTTTCATTGCGTCCTAATATAGAAATGAAAACAATGAAAACAATGAAAACATTTAGAATATTCTAAATGGTATTGCGTGCACAAAATAGTGCGGCATTAGACAATGCATTTAGGATTAAAGTAAAATGAAGAAAAAGAGCATTTTCGATTTTCAAGCGTACAAAACGATTCACGTACAAAATGAAATGGTATGGATTTCAACCAAAATATGTACCTTTAGACTTAGCATTTTGGGAGGTAATTCGTTTCAGCACATCTTCATCTATTTCAAGATCATCAAAAGAATCGTCAGAGAACTCGTCCTCAGAAACCATGAAGTTCTCTTATTTTCTACAGTACAGATATTTCTCGATTTGTCTGGAGAAGTTTTTGCTGGTTGACAGGAACTGTTTGTTTATATTTATTCTGTTCTGACTGATCGCAAGTGTTGAAAAGAAGTTTAGACTGTTGGCAATCTGGTGGTCGTTCATTTTTGAGCGGTTGTTTGTCCTTGGAACATTCCTGAGCTTTTGAGTTTTGTGACGACTGGGAAGCGTAAATCAAATCTGCCTGCCTCAAAACTTCGTCGTCATCATCACTAATCATATCCTCGTCGTCGATCTCTGGATTGCTGCATGAAACTGGCCTACTAGCAGTGCCAGGAACTGATGGTTTGTTTGTAAAGACTGGTTTGTTAGGAGGTCCGGGATTGTTTAAATTAGAGGAGTTTCTCTGAGGAACTCTACTGAAGTTGGTGGCAGGCTGCTTATTCGACCGAGCTGGTTGAACCGGTGATTTAGCCTTATCAAACTCAGCAGTGAGTTTCCGAGGTTGTACTGTAGTCTGCTCGTGACTCGCTCGGCTTTGCGTCTTGAACATTGTCGGCGTCTTAAACACTTGCGGTACCTAGGGTATTACTTCATTAAAATCCTTAGTTTCATGACCGGGATATCATGACTGGTTCTAAAACTTACCTAATGAAAATTCTAAATAAAAGTGTCGCCTATAATGCGTTTTACATACCTTTGAAGGGGCCATGTGACTAGGGCCAGGTCCAGTGGGTGACACCTCCCCGCTAGTAGCGGAGCACGTGTTATTTGTTTTGTTCAGCAGCGGAGTCAGACGGATCTGGGACAGCACATCGTCGCTAAAATCGTCAAAATCCGACGAGTCCGATATCTCGGGTGAATCCAGAGCACTGGTAAAATCGTATCTCTGAAATATTAAAATTGAAAATCGACACCTTAAATGTCAAGGTGTCATTATATTATGTTAAATTAGGAGAGGGTTCATGTCACTTCAAATATTCCGGTAACCGAATTGGACTTACTTGTGATGGCATACACAATTATCTCTCAAATATTATATTAACTACATAGATTATATTTCCCGAGTAATTAACGGTTATTACTTATTAAACTACGGATATTGGCCCAAGATCAATAAATAAAAATAAATAAATTGTGTAATAGACATTTTAGATTAAGTAAGTAATCAGTGGCATATTTGTCCCCACTAGGATAGTGCTGATGTTTTTCTTTTAAAAAGTTTTAAAGATATAAACACCAGTACAGCGCACTACATACAGCAGCGAGCAGTTGACAGTTATTAGAGTTCTATTTGCGCAAACCAAGGGGTGCTAATTATAATTCTATATAATTTATATACTATTACATTCATCGTATACTTAGCAATCTACTTAAGAACAAAGCATACCGGCCAATCTTGAACTTTGTGTTAAATTTCAAGATATGTGTACACTAGTACAGTGAATGTTTGGCAAGTTTTAAGTTTAAAACCTGCTAATAAGCTAAAACACACACACACAGTGTGTAATGAATATCTGGCACCTAGGTCCTAGTAACTACTGAATTACCTTGTAAAGGTTGGGTTTAGGAGGTCTTCTTATTCTCCTCTTGTTCCTCTGGTGGGTGCCCCACTGTTCAATGAAGTATACTCCCGATGGTGAACTCTGAGAAAGCAGTTGTTTAGTGTGTCACGTGACAGTGTGACACGTGACAATGTGACACGTGACAATGTGACACGTGACAATGTGACACGTGACAATGTGACACGTGACAGTGTGACACGTGACAATGTGACACGTGACAGTGTGACACGTGACAGTGTGACACGTGACAGTGTGACACGTGACAATGTGACTGGTGTGTTTAGTGTGTCACGCCTGACTGGGTCAAACTCACATTTATATAACACTCAGTAAAATATAATATTCGCATAGTTCTCGGTAATATTCACTTATCAGGGGTTTGTACATTTGAACACGTGCATATTAGTTCATTCGTACATAACATGATAAAACATATTATTTTCTTCCATTCTTGAATTCGCTCAGAACAGGTATGGTATTACGTCAATTGGCATGGAATATCACCTACGAGATTCTACTCAGGAGCCTGTTTAACACAAACATGCCGCAGACAAAATGTAAATGAGTGTAACACCAACATATTTACACCAACATTTTTACATACTGTAACAGTGTAACATCGTAACAGTGTAACAGTGTAACAGTATAACAGTGTAACAGTGTAACAATTCACATCGTAACACCCAAATATTACAAAAACTCTGTTACTGTTATTGCGTGTGTGCATGCAATCCGAATGGTTAAATCATAAATGAATATTATCATATTTTATAAAACAAATTTCTTAGAAAAAGACTTTTCTTACAAGCTTTAAACCGAAATATTTCTTGTAAAAATGATCGATGAAAAACTGGCTCAAACTGTTTCAACTTCAAGGAAATGAATGAATACCTGCCACCTGGTATATTAATACAATGCAATAGTTTTTATATAAACTGCTTCTATAGGCGAGTCGTAAGTAAGAAAAATAAAAATATAACAACGTCATAACAGTTTCCTGCTACCCGTTATTTAACTGCATTGCTAATTGATTTCTAATTGATTTCTAATATGATCACGTAATTACTTAATTACCATCTCTACAATTTTGACTGTCTGTTTTTCAACTTACTGGCTATGCACTTAAAAGTCTTAAAATCAAGTTATTTTAATTAATTGTGAAAGTATTTATTTCTTTAACTTCACCGTATCATTTAATATATGAATTTGACCATGATTTGATTTGCAGAAGATTTAGATACAATTTCATACAATTTTCAGCCAGACTCTTCTTCAAACTGTCCATAACCTGGCAACACGCCAACACTGTAACACCACAGCACAGTAAAACTATTTAAAAACCAAATAACCATTAAATCACCATTAAACTTAGATTATACACTGTACATGAACATACCGATGATTCGCCAGCAGGACGAGGTAAGATTACTGATCTGGGTGATATCTTGGTTGTCTGAGGAGAGTTCATGTCCCAACCGATTATCTGGACTTGTGAGCTTAACATTCCGTTCGGCGACTCTGAAAATGTTGAGTTGAGACATAGTTTTAAAGCTGCGGACTGCGGAGGTAAAATGGCAGCTTTGAAACTGTAATATCAAATAATAATCGAAAGTAATGACTTCTGGAATGATAAATCAGGAGGTGGGGGGGGGGGGGCAGCTACTCACCTTCCATTATTAGTTGAGTTGTTTTTCTTTAAGAGTTGCTAGAAGGTAAAATTTTAGTTTTAGCTTACTTCAAAATATTAATTTATTTGTGATACTATAAACAACTGTTATTATAACGGGAAGGTGACGGTTTAAACTTCACTGAATTAACTCTGTTAGGATATATACACATTCCAATTAATAATATTATCATTTTAGTAATGTGAAGTATTGTGCGAGCCCAATTGCCTTTCTAGCTCAATTTAAAAAAATGAAGTTTACGTCACCTCCCCATGGAAATCCTTTTGTAAAAGGTACTACAGGTGTGATACAATGAAATTTAGGTTCATATTTTAAATGATCAGACGCATTTATCTGAACGATTCTTATATTGAATTTTTTTAAAGTGAATACATTGATATTGGTTTAAAATCAAATGACATCAGATATATGACATAATATATCATGTACGATATCAATATCCTATCAAAAGGAAGAAAACACAGCGGTGTCATTAAATTCTGTTTATGATATGAGTATTCATAAAGAATCTTAGTTTTTGAAAACGAAACGTTGTCCACTTGCTTAAAATAGAAACTCCTGACCGGAGTACAATTTAATTTATTGCGACCGCTCGATCAGGCAGGACGTGACCGGATTTGGAAATATAACTTACCACATTGTTGTGCATGTTGTACGATGGTACGTGACCTTGGTAATCAGATAAAGAAATTCAAATAAGTCGACTAACAAGACAGCATCATGTGTAGCTCATTTCGTTTCACGCTCTAAGATCACATACAAGCATTATATATCAGATGTATAAATAGATCAGTACAAACTGTAACAAATTTTGAGGCTAGAACTTCGAGAAGAGATGGGTAGAGTCTTGCAGTTGATAAAAGTAAAATGATTAAATAAAACTTGTAATAAAAGGTTTTTATGGTGGTAAACATGATAATTTAGTAGCACATAATCATTGTGAAGAATAGTTATCTTTACAATGGAAACAGTAACCCCTTCATCTCAATTCTAAGCCAGAGCTAATACCTTTTTATTAATTAAATACCAGTTATATTTCAGATGTACGATCATAAACCAGTTAATTTACAATTTCAAAAAGCTCCCACAGCTACAACATTGGCCGAAAATCTACAAACCGTGGCCATTTCTCATTCCTCAAAACGAACCCTTCAAAACTTCACTCTCACTCGTTCAATTGTCGCATGCCAACCCTGTTTGTGATATATTTCAGTATTGGGTTCTGAGATCAAAAGAGGCCAAATAATTGCACCAAACTCTTCTCCCATCCCGGGAGTTTTATGCAACTTGAAAAGATTAAATAAAGCGTACAAGCTTAGACATGAAGAAAGTTAAGGAACAAATATTTCATAATTAATTATTATCAATCATCGTCTAATAATTAGAACAATTTAACAACACGGCGCCCAATTTCGGATTACATAACCGTGTTTGTATCTCCAAATAAAATGTACCTATCACCGCCTGATCTAATAGTAGAGCTTGCTCCGGCAAGTTTGCTCGGTACTACTACAAGTAAACACGAATAACAGATATTGCTCGTTAATCACCACAAGAAGAATACCCAATCACAGATTACACCTTGATCGTATAAGTTTTGTAATTCAACGTTCCATGAAATTGCAGTTGTTCTCAGCCGGACACACAGACACACAGACACACCATGAAAGCTACATGACACTGCACCCCTTCTTGCTGGCTGCCTTGTACCGTTCCAGGAACTCTAGCTGCTTGCCATTGATCGCTCCCTTGCGGTGTCGCCTAATAAACTCCACTGCATCCTCATACCGCATACCACCGTCAATCAGAGCAATAGCAACGAGAACAGGGGCCCTGCCCAGACCAGCCACGCAGTGCACGGCCACTGCTGTTTGGGGCTTGTCGGAGAACATCTTCTTAACCAGGATCAGCCAATCCTTGATGATGGTGGCGGGGGGTTCCGCTCCATCCTCAAAACTTAGCTCCCGAACAATGATACCCTCTTTCTCAAACGCCTGATCGTCGTAAGTCGGTTCACACACACGGACCACCATGGAGGTGTTGTGTTTCTTGAGCTGCTGGATGTACTGCTTGACGTTGGAACGGGTGGGCCTGTCAGTGATGACAAACCGCATGTTTCGGTGGACAATCTCGCTGGGGCCTACTTTCATCATCTTGTATCTGTCTCTTTATTACATGTGGTGAGGGAACGGCTGTTTTGTGGTGAGGGAACGGCTGTTTTGTCGTTCAAGGCAGGATGTGTTGGCTCTTACACCATTCAGCTACAATCGACTTTAAGTTGAGCGTATCGAGCATATAACTACCAATCACCATACAATCTACCTAGAGGAATGCCTGTTGTTAGAAATGGGGATCGTGAAATTGGCAGTAGTTATTATATTTGGGTATGGTTTCATAAAGGATAGATGAAAGAATTTTACAATTTCGTAATTATCGTGAGCGCAATTTAGGAGTATAGCATTGAGGCGTTTGAAGTAAGGAGTACATGTTATTGGAATATACTTTATGGGCATACCTGTTTTATTTTCATGTCGTGGACATTCAACACGCAAACAACATTCAAACAATGTATATTATATTGTATTCAGTAATTAATTTCGTCAAGATTCGTATCAAGATTCGTATCAAAGAATCATCAAAATTAATCATAATTCACTTTAAAATAACGAAATAATTGAAAAAAAAGCAGTACGTAATTTAATAATTTTTAAAAGAATAAATAAAGCTAGCTCAAAACTTAATTTTTTTAAAAAACATAAAATTGACAGCTTAACCATGACGTATGCGGGTATCAGACCTAGATATTGAATGTCACAATTTACCTTTCCTAGCCAGAGTTAAAAAACCAGTACATGTGTGACACATTACATAACCAATACATGAATTACACAAATTGAATCCGTAGCAAAGATACATAATATTGAAAAGTTTATTTGTATTTACAATTCATCTTTGAACTGACGCAAAAACTTTGGGAAAACAGTTAAAATATTGTCGATTTCAACGTAGTTGAGAAGTTCATCCTCGTCTGAGTCCAGCAGCTTGAACAATCTTCTGATATCCGCGTCTGTAACTGCAATGAATCTCGGTGTTACAATCGCCAGCTTGTTTCACAATTACCAGATAACTATTAGGAAAGGGGCACATGTAGTAAAGATATGTAAAGTATAATAAGGTACAGCATACTCACAGACAGTTACACAATACAATGTTAATCTACAGAACAATGACTACTGAGTACGGGTATCATACCCACAGTGCACTTTACAGTGCCATTAGTCATGTGTAAAGTCATGGTATACAAAAGACAACATAATTTGGATTTTATGGCAGTCAAATGGACATAACATTATGTATTATATGCAGATTTTATGTACCAGATGTCAGACCATTTGTACAGGTCATAACAATTACGCAAGTTATAATTGATACTATAAGATCCAATAATTGTAACAAATGCATTTGGACAGAATTAGTGTACTCACAAGTTTCGTCAGGTAATAGATTAATTTGACAGATTGCTATGGACTATGGACTTGTGCAGTTTTAGCGTGATAAGCTCAAGGAAAATGACATCATTTCAATAGAAAATTTGGCAGAAATTCATGCTTACAAGAAATGATGTCATGATGAATCATACATAAGTACTATGCTACGCTATGTTATTTTCAATGTTTACAAAGGAAATCTTTGTCCGTACCAACTAATTTTACATATTTAAAAAATAAGAACACAACATAATTATCGCATTCTAAAGTTAAGTCAGAGAAGGTAGACATAGAGTGTGAGGGAGAGCGTCAATGAGTCGTTATCTTATACATTATAAATGATGTACATTTAGGTGAATAGCGGTAAGGAGAGGGACGAAGTAGTCGGAGAAGTGAGCCTGAGAATTCGAATATTTCGGTATTTCTAAATCAATGAAACTGGCATTCTACCAAATTTTATTGGAATATCGCCAAATTGTAGATGGTTCAAATATCAGTGTTTACAGTAATTAGTGATGTAGCTGCAGAGTGTAGGTGACATAAGGGAGAGCAGGAAACAAAATGACAAAGTGGCCGAGAAGACGATGAGAACAGTAGATGAGTACAGAAAACTGAAGAGATAAGGGATCTCAATTTATTTAAGGTATTTTACGCCAGATCTCCTTCTCTCAGATATCATATTATTGTGGGACATTGGGTTTTCTTACAGCAGATAGATTAAACAGAATATGATATAATAAATATAATACATACTATGATGCATCCCTCTTTCGTCTAAAGCTGGTCCAACACACTCCAGAAATCCGGGCCAATCTATAGTTTCCTCAGTGTACATTCTGTCGTGCATGTAGATCATCTGATGTGCAGCTTCACTCAGAGGCATATCTCCGTCATCATTTTCATCACCATCTCTTAAAATGAAACAAAAGTTTTAAATTTCTATTAACTATCATGTATTGCATATCGTAAAATCCTACAAAAAGTAGCACATTTCAATGCTACAAAACTACAATTTAAAATATAAATAAAGTGCTATTCCTAACATGACAGTACCTAAAGTGCAATTGATCCAATGTGAGCTGGGTTTTATCCTCGCACACCAATGGTGATCTGTAGGACCTCCACCAGATGTTGACAGCCAGGTTACTGAAGAAATTATCGTTATCATGCATCTTGCTTTGTCTAGACAATTTCCAACTCTTCTTTATTACAACAAGTAAAAAGTTCTGCTGAACAATGAATGTCCACATATTTTAACTATATAATGTTTGTGTTAAATTAGTTTAAAATTAACCTCAATTATGCTATTTCTAGCTCTGTTAAACATTTTTGTTCACCAAGCATTAAGCATATCAAAATCTAACCTGCCAATGGAGTTTACATGATGGAACCAAAACCAAGGAATGTACAAGCAATCCCCAGCTTCCATGGAAACATTGTAGAATTGTATGTCTTTAAAGCCTGGATACTTATCTGTATCCACATTTTCAACATCAACTGAACTATAGAAACCCTCTCGATTATCAATGTGAGCTTTCTGGTGAGTTTCACTTCTATTAGCCATGATGAACCATTTTTTACCTCTCATGAGACAATTTATATTTTCATATGCATCATTGTGCCAGACACTTTTTGTTCCCCCACTACTAAACCACATGACATTATCCGCAAGAAGGTTATTTACAACAAAGGGACAATTTAATGGAAGGTGCAAAGGAATATCTGATGCCAAAAATGGGGGTACTGGATTTACATAATAGATGTCTTCTTCTTTATAAACGTTCAAGAATTCTGAAAATGTGAGATGTTTTGATCCATCATTTCTGTTTTCTTTTTTTCCTTCCTCAGCAAATACAGTAAACGTATCTGATTCTGGTAAGGATTGAAAATATTCATCTGTCCATTTTGTGAATGCAGGAAAAGTCTTTGCAGCTCCTCTGAATAATACAGGAGTTCCGGGAATAACATATTTAGTAAAAAACTGATCTGGAGGAATGAAGGTGTCAAAGACATCAACACTTTTCTGAGGTCCTGACTGCAGTCCAATGTAATCGGCTTGTACAGCCAAAATTATGATAAAAAGATTGATAAGAATGTTTTCCATGCTGACCTAGAGATAGTAATGATGCAGTTATCAATTATCATGAATCTTATAATTTATTGAAACAAATAAAATACATACAGGATTATTTAAAATGATTTGAATTTAAAAAGCTTCCGTCATGTTTGAAAAAGGTTTCTCAAACTTTCAATTAGGCTACATGGTAGATGCATCCTCTAAGACAGCATGGTCAAATTCTCGACTTGACCACATTCCCAACCGTAACTTGCTATAATTTGTGCACTAGAAGCTAGATTTAACACCAACACCAGCCCATTACTATAGCAAAACGTTGCAACTATGTTGTATTATAGTAGAAGCAGTGGTGTAATGAAGGCCCCGGCCGACCCCACTGTGCTGGGGGGGGGGGGAGAGCCAAATCGTTGTTTGAATGTGGGACAATCATCCTCTATTATATACAAAAAGATGAGCCAAAATGGACTTAAGCTTATTGAATTATGGCTGTTTATGGCCAGTACTTGCAGGAGCAAAGTGATAAAAATATGATTTTGAAAATACCAGCTCAATTTTGATACTATCTTGTATGGCTGGCTAGTTCTAAACAAAACGTGAGGCATATGAACAAGTAAATGAGCTTTTGTCATCATTACAGTCTTATATGAGAGCGAATAAGTTACATATAAACATGTCCAAGTGCTGCTACATACACTTCAAACCCACCATGGCAGGTTCTAAGTCAGAGATTTTATCACACCCTGAAGTTGTACTAACTATAGACAACTTTCCAATCAAAAAGGTTTCATCCGCAAAATTTCTGGGTGTTATAATTGACGAGAACCTATCATGGGAAGATCACATTAAAGCTCTTAAGCGAACTCTAAATCATTCCACATCCACTTTATGTAGATTTCGCTGCTCTTTTCCAGAATTCCTACATCAACAATTATATTATACCCTGTTCGAATCACAACTTTCTTACTGTATATCTGTATGGGGTGGGGCAGCGAAGCAACGTATAAGCTCAATATTTACTGCTCAGAAGTACTGTCTCAGAGTACTATTTGGTGATAGGCTGGCGTACCTTGATAAGTTTAAGACTTGTGCACATACTTGTGCACATACTTTTGGATCTTTTACAGCAGCAAATACTGAACTGAGGGCCAAGGCTCTCCGTGCTCTCTATGGCCTCAAAGGCAATATCGTCAAAGATGCCCTCTCTCACCGTTCCCTAAACATTCTATTTGACTCTCTAATAAAACCGATACTGCTCTATGGCTGCCAAATCTTATGTCCTCACTCAAAAACCATGAGATACCTCTCCAAAACAGATAGCAAAGCCAACCCCCAGCATACTCTCAGGTACATCTCACAAGACCACTATGAAAGATTCCACCTCAAGTTTATCAAGTGGTCCTTGTCTGTCCATTCAAAAGCATCAAATATAGGCTGCTGGGGTGAAAGTGGGCGCCACCCCCTCTTCTTTGAAGCCTGCAAACTTGCAATAGATTTCTATAGTCGTCTTGAAAGCACTGAAAATGAACTTCTCTCCGCTGCATTTCACGAGCAGATTATGCTGGGCCTTCCATGGTACACCAACATCTCTAATCTTCTCACCAAATATAACTTCCCCCACTCATCCTCTTCAAAATCCAAGCTCTCTACCCAAATCAGTCACAACATGAGGGAAGAATTTGTGGATACCTGGAAATCTGCCAAGGCATCCTCACCTAAATTAGAATTCTACAATCAAATTAAACATGATTTTGAACCAGAAACATACTTAGGAGTGGTTAAGATCCCCGATGCTCGGAAAAGCTTAACAAGGTTTCGTATTAGCTGCCACAATCTTTACATTGAGAGGGGCCGTTACGAAACCCCCCTAGTACCAAGAGAACATCGATGGTGCACTTTTTGCTTTTTCAGCAAGGGGCTTAAGCCTATTGAGGACGAAATTCATGTTCTAACTGACTGTTTACTCTACTCCTCAGTTAGAGAAAAATTTAACTTCCATCCCAAAAATATTACTGACCTAGCCGGTTTGCTATCCGATAAAACACTAGACCCTACAAAATTTACTGCCACAGCAAGAGCAATCCATTCAATTCTCTCTGTGAACGAAAATTTTACAGCCTACTATAAGAGCCCAGATTTCCACTCAAATACTGGCCAATGCATAATGCTATAGGACCTCAAAAATAGTATTATAAAACATTTCTATTTTATCCCTACACATTTGTAAATAACTAGAATTGTGTAACCTTAAATTATTTCAGAATTATAACTATTGTGAATTCAATAAAATAATTATCACTTTTGTATCCTTGTATCCTTGTATCCTTGTATCCTACTAGGCCTATAGGAAACCAGAAACTTGACCAAAACTTTTTCATAAAAGAGCACACCAAACCGATATTCAAACATAACAATATTCTAGCTGTACAAAATCTCTATACATACCGTGCAGTTACCTCGAGCTCTACAAGATAATGAAATTCCGTGCTCCAATATCTCTACGTATGAGGGTTACACATGTTCGTCAAGGAAACCCTGCCTTCTAATCTGTCAGGCAGACCCACCTGACAACCACAACACTAGATCAACTAAAATGTTTAACATCTTAACCCCAAAGTTCAGAATGACTGACTTTACTACTAGTGTAATGTGCTTGCGAGGAAAGCTAAAACATGCGCTATTAGCTGTTTCACGTTGTAGCCCTGCCGCGCACTAACTTGCGCGGCTTCGTCATTCGTGGCTTTCGCCACAAAACCACTTGTGCAATGACAGGGGGTCACGACGTGGTACAAATAATGCCACATTGGCATAAAACAATTTTAGTTGCGCATGTTCTGAGACCAGAAATGGGACAGTACTTGGACTAAAAACGGGTGGCAAAAGGAACCAGTTGCCTGTAAGAGCTTTACTAGTACCCAAAATACCGCTTCTAAAGCATCACCCCAAGCCTGATATCAGCTGAACACAAAAGCATAAATTGTTTCAGGATTTTCACAACAAATCAGCTTGCACATACTATTGAATATTGCATATTAGGATGTAAAAGTTTTAATACATAATGTATAATATAATACACGTTAAAAAGCTCGATTGAAATATCTGCTTAAAACACTACTACATGTTGTAAAAAACAATATATTTACAAAACAAAACGAGGGGAACACAGAAAAGAGAAGGACATATTAGCATAAAATGCCCGCAAGGCCTTCTACTAGTAATAGAAAGCCAATCAGACATAGATTTCGAGCAAGCTTGTCAGGCTTGTTACTTCACTTGTCAGGGCTTAAATATTTCAAACAATATACACGTATAATTACAGCAATGGTCTAAGGTTAGACACCCTCAACAATTTACAAACCAATTAAAAATAAATCAAATAAAACAGTAACCATTTAAAAAATCAGGGTCGAATTGATAAAAACCCCTGTGTTACATGTGCGCATTGATGATACAGAATTACTGTCCCAAGGTAAGATAGAACATTCTAAATGCCCACTGCAACGATCCAGGCCTTTCTCTTTAGAGCGTTCCGCATAGCATATCGGCACTTTAAGGCGTGTTTGAAATTGAGACCCAGTATCTTGCTAGTTTTTTGACGTACTTATACTGTAGGTAATATGTTGAAATAGTATACCTCCCCCGCGGAAAATTTCAAGTCTACCGGATTTGCAATCTCTTTATTGTACTATCATGTAAATGCTACCTTTCTTTGATATCATACATTATCGATCTAATCAAAATTATCGATTCAACTATGATATTTTTATTTCTTTAGTCATTTTTCCAGTCTACTGCTAATTTTTTGAAATTTTATGAAGACTTTTATCAAGTTTAAAGTTGTCAGCCTGTATGTCATAAATTTAACTTTACTTAACTTAAATACTTTACTTTATTTAAAGATCTCACGGCCAAAGAAACGTTTCAGATGTACTAATACCACGAAAACTGTGATAGTTCAGTTCAGTGTGAATCACAATTTTGCCTTATACAAATTATAAAAGAGCAAGCCTGTGTTCCCATCGTTTTGGCAAAAGACGGAAAGATTAATGGAAGGATTGACGGACGACTTATTAAGGCACACCTACCTTGATCTCCAAAATTTATTTTTCATCTTTGTTCGCTTTTGTACATTTGGATTTGTAACTATATTATTTTTAAGGTGATAAATGGATAGAAATCACAGATGCGTGTTTTGCAAAACTACCCAAGTGCCCGGGTTTCTCAACAAACTTGTTTGACTGTTGACGAATGGAGCAAAAGAAAAACTTTAATTTAAGTTTTATGGCATAGCATAAGTGATAATTGTCCATTGTTAATGGACTAGCCCGGCGCGCGCTACTACGTAGCACTTAATTTCCTCGGGCTACATTTCGAGAAGAAAGCGACGCGCGCACTACTTCGAAGAAATTTAGACGAGCTTAACATACAACATACGTCAAAAGTGATAAGTTTGTATCGCGATACATAACTGGGCCGTGCCGTGCATCCAATAATGCTTCTCGCAACCACGTTGGATCGGCAACCTTTTTTAGATTGGTATGCAAAATGCGCTACCGGGCCTCGCCGAGCTGCAAAAAATGTCACCTGACCATGTGTTTTCGTGCCACTGCGGGCTTAACGGGTGATACTCTTAAAATATTTGTTTCAAATATTATGGACCGTCGACTGTCGACGAGTCCAACTCGTCGCGCGTCCTGGTATGTTGTTTCGCAAGCGTAAGGTCTCTGCATGCAGGATAAAGCATAAGTTAAGCGCAAAGAATTGACATCGTCACATAAGACCAACGTCATGAACGTGATTAATTTCACATTACATTGCCGTGTGTCTACGCGTACTTGGTACTCATGCGTGACGCGCTCGTTTCACAAGTAGAGAGGGCTCTGGTTAGAGCTATTAGTGATTAACTTTTCAACAAATTTCTTTTTATTAGCAGCGCTCGATCCGACACTATAATTACAAATATAATTTTATAGGACGGTTCGGTATTACTCACTATTACTGCTTAACGGATGATACTCGTAAAGTCAACCGG